CTCGCCTTTCACCTCGTCTGAACTGCAGTGAGTGGGGGCATAGGCAGATACGACGAAGAGGCAACGACAGAAATGATTGAAAGAATATATATATATATATATATATATATATATATATATATATATATATATATATATATATATATATATATATATATATATATATATATATATATATATATATATATATATATATATTCTTTCAATCATTTCTGTCGTTGCCTCTTCGTCGTATCTGCCTATGCCCCCCACTCACTGCAGTTCAGACGAGGTGAAAGGCGAGTTCTACAGAAAGCTTTCGGACCTCCTCCAAAAAGTTAGGCGTTCCGATATAGTAATAATGGATGGGGCTTTTAATGCTCAGGTAGTAGGACTAAGTGAAATGAAAGAACACCTAGGTGGGTGTTATGGTGTCGTGGCTCAAAGAACAGACAATGGCGACCGTCTGTTGCAACTATGCTCAGATAACCACCTATTCTTAGCAAACACTAACTTTAGGCATAAGGAAAAGCACCTTTCGACCTGGCAACCACCGAAGTCTTCTCAACGTTGGACCGAACTAGATCATATCGCCATCAGCCACCGATGGAGGGGTTCGATAGAGGACTGTCGCTCGTTCTGGGGCACATGTTTAGATACAGATCATGCCCTAGTGCGAGCTCGTATTTGTTTGAGGCTTACTGGGCGTAGGAAGGACACCGTAAGAAAACCTCTTAGGGTTTTACTTAATGATAATAAGGCGAAGAATAAATTTCAGGAACAACTAGAAAGACAGTTAGGCGACCATTTAAGCGATTCCTATAGCGAGGCAGGTTGGAATAATATCAAGAAGGCTGTGGAAACAGCAGTGATATCTTCTAGTAAGGTTGACCATATGGCTAGAATGAAGCCATGGATCTCTGTAGCATCCACCGAACTGATGGATGCCCGAAAACTCATCCCACCTGGCTCTGAACACGATGAAGAACGAAGTTAGCTTAAGCGCAGGCTGATAAAAAGCCTGCGCAACGACCGTGAACAGTGGTAGGTGGCGAAAGCAAAATCGATGGAAAAGGCAGCGGCGATAGGCAACACTAGACAACCTTTCCGCCTTATCAAAGAAACCGGCATTAGGAACCCGAATGTAAGTGAAACTATCTCAGGAAAGGATAGTCTTATCATTAATTCTCAATCCAGGAGATTGGATCGATGGGCAGAACACTTTAAGGATCAGTTCAACTGGCCTCGAGCCACTCTTCGGTTACCCACGATCTCCAGTCATCCTGAATGGGCAAGTCGACATAAGCCCTCTGACTCTATGAAGTTGAGAAAGCGGTAGGAAATCTGAAGCGAGGGTGAGCAGCAGGTCCTGGTAGGCTTACCCCTAAAGTTTTTAAGGATGGTGGTCCAGTTTTAGCAGCTAAGTTGACTGAGATCTTAGGTAGAATCTGGGAACTGGACGTAATCCCACCCGATTGGTCTCAATCACTGACTGTCCGAATCTATAAGAAAGGATGCAAGTCTCCTTGTGACAATCAAAGGGGAATCAGTGTAACTAATATAGTTTCTAAATTGTTAGCCTCGATTATACTTAGACGTCTAACTAGAGCTCGCGAAGAGCAGACTCGAGAAAACCAGGCTGGTTTTCGACCTGGACGTGGTTGTATAGACCACATCTTCACACTACGACAGGTCCTGGAACACACACACATTTAGACGTCCGACGTTAGTCGTGTTCCTGGACCTTAAGGCGGCATTCGACTCAGTGGATCGTGAGGTTCTGTGGCAGTGTCTGTCATTGAAAGGTGTACCAAAGAAGTACATTAACCTTATACAAGCTCTCTACTCGAACACCACTGGTCGAGTGAGAGCTTATGGCGAACTGTGATCGGAATTCTTCACTTCAAGTGGTGTCCGTCAGGGCTGTCCACTCTCTCCATTCTTATTTAATTTTATCATAGACATGCTCTTAGAAGTAACTCTATCCTCGTCTGATTTTGCAGGACTAGACCTTCTACCAGGAGGCTCGCTTATCGACTTAGAATATGCCGATGACATAGTCCTACGTGATGAAGACACTGACAAAATGCAGTCTTCTGACTACCATAAGCAACAATCCAAGCATGTTCGGGATGCGGTTTTCCCCCTCGAAATGCAAAATGTTGCTTCAAGACTGGGTTGCATCGGCACCTGAACTAGTGATAGGGAGTGAAGTAGTCGAACGTGTTGACCGCTTTACTTATCTTGGGAGTCTCATCAGCGCTGATAGCCTGGTGACTGACGAAATCTCAGCTCGGATACAGAAGGCTCGATTGGCTTTTGCCAACCTACGTCACTTATGGCGCAGGCGAGATATCCGTTCGCTAACCAAAGGACGAGTGTACTGCGCAGCAGTCCGCTCTGTCTTACTATACGGATGGGAAACATGGCGGTTAAGAGTAGAGGACATTCGTGGGTTACTAGTCTCCGATCATCGATTTCTCCGAAGCATTGCTCGTGTATGCTGGGACAACCTTATAAGCAATGCTGTCGTTAGGAAACGAGTTCTAGGTAAGGATGGCAAATCAATAGATGAAGTATTGAAACGTCATCATTTGAGGTGGTTGGGACATGTGTTACGTATGCCTAACCACCGACTGCCTCGAAGAGCTATGCTTTGCGATGTAGGAATAGGTTGGAAGAAAGCTGGGGGCGGCCAAACCAAAACATGACACAAATGCATGAAGTCACTGACAAGTGGACTGAGTCATGTTGGTAGATGTAGGCTACCTGGTTGGGGTTCGCGAGACGATAGTCACCAATGGTTAGAGACTTTGAATGACATGGCTCAAAATCGTTTGCAATGGCGCAGGTGCATCTACTCTTTGTGTTCTATGAAATTCTAAGCTTCTGCATTCCTCATAATCTCTACCTTACTCCTTCTAAATTTATCTAACTAAATTGGACTTCTCGAATCATATCTTCGCTCCCTAATCTTCTCCATTACTGCTAATACTTCTATTATTGCTATCACTCTTGGATTTGAACTGACAGTTGCGTCTCTCTGCTGATGGGGCATGGCAACTTGAACTGATGTACTTACGTACGAAGTTCTGCGTTGTATCTGTCTTCTGTGTATGGAATGTTGGACTAATTATATTCATTTTCTCAAAGCCCAATCATAAGCCAGGATTTTTGGTGTAATATGATAGTCAAGCTGTAGTTTCCATCAGTTACGGAAGCTTAATTGTTCTGTAAATTTACCAATATAACTAATGTGTTTTAACTGATAGTTTATTTAAGGAATCGTTTTCCAAATGTTATAGGAATAGATTTCGAAAGGTGGAAGCAGTACGTAACTATGTTAAGGAATTTTTACTGTTATTCCTGTGCAAAATATTCAAATAAAAAAATATGACCGAGTTGCTTATCATGCTATAAAAAAATCAATGATACTTCACTTCTCGTCCCATCAAGTGCACGATTACTCATATTATACTAAAATAATGATTAACCTGCTGAAGGTTGGCCTCCAAGAACTGTAAAAGTAAGGATACAACTAACCCAACTAACAGTATATGCTGATTGTCAAATAGTGTAAATCTATAACCTATCGATCAACTATCTTTAGTTCTATAAAGAAGTTCGGCTTTGTATGAATTGATGTGATTCATACATTCTTGAAAGTTGGTTATATAGTTAAGTTAATCGTACGGAATTCGAACATCTAAACTGATAATTAAAAGTTAGGTGAGATCTATCTACAAAGTTCATATTCATTTGATGAGTTGATTTCATAGATCAGAATGCAACATAAATGGGGAACTATAATCGGTTTTATATATTTATTTCATAGATTTTCGTCTGATGTCTACTATGAGTCCGCTAACATTGTTTCTAAATACGTGAACCGTCAATAAATAATCCACGCAAAATTCTCACTCCTCACCTAAATTACCAGTCAAATAGTCGATTGGCTAAGTACTGATGTTATTCTGTACTATTCAGATCCGAAATTTCACTTCGATATATACATAAAATACGAGACCATTATGTTCGACCTATCGATACAACACACTCTAGGTTGAATAAATTAAAATAATTTAACTTCTCGGTATATTTATAAATAGAAATGCATGAAAAGTAAGTGGTTCTACAACAAATGACAACTAATTTATGTTAAACCTATATATCCAGAGTTATGAATTTAACAAAAATCAAATCTCAACTCATAAAGGCACAAGAATAACCAGATCATTGGTATGGCGGAATAGATAAAATATATTAACCATTATAAAGACTGTCTACGATTAGCCTACAGTACGGGGAAAGGAGTCAATTTCCGTTACTCATAAGTAGTATGTTCGTAAAACACAAATTTCATAAATGATAAAATCCTAATAATCTACGTAACAAAGACATGTATGATATACATCTGTGTGACAGGTTTGTGATTAATTTGATGTAATTTATAAACCTTTATTAAACCAAATGAAAAAATGTTGTATAACAAATACATGAAAACTATCGATCCGAAAGAAGGATTCACTGACTATTTGTCTGTGATATGTGATAGTGTGATGATCGACTAAGTAATATAACTGAGCAAAACCGAATAGTAACAAATACTACTAATCGAATAGATCACATTATGTCGGATACATGATTCAAAACCAAATATAGAGTAGTAGACAGTAGTTTGTCTAATAGAAAATTACGCACAGTTCACGTACAATAAAAATCCAAGTAGAAAACCAGAGTTACAACAGTATGAGAGTAGTGATTCATACAAAGGATTATAGTGGGCATGTAATTCAACCCTCAGTAACTATAATCATCGCTCACTTTCATCTGATACATCAAACAAATATACTGATTTCACAAGGGATAACTTTCAAAGTTTCACTCGTTCATCAATCTTAGCAATTTAGCTGTCAACATTTCCATTTCAAAATATAATTGATTATGTGTTGTTTTTTGTTCCCTTCATTATTTTTATTAATATACTTAACTTTCATTCCACTATTTTTCATATTCCCAAGGTGTTTGTCGATGGAATAGATGTTCGCACTATTCCTCTCAGTTTACTTCGTTCCCGAATTTTAACTATTTGCCAAGAACCATTTCTTTTTTCTGGATGTTTACGAGAAAATCTAGATCCTGAAAAGTATGTTTGTTCACTCGCAATCCTTTCTCTTCTTTTATCATAAAAAATATTATTGATCTAGTAATGTTAAGATTAGCTTGTGCTGATATAAGATCCGATATCTGTCCCTTGACAGATCATGTCAGTTAATCATAAGTAACGTAGAACTTTGCGTATTTGTGCATTGGTCCAAGTTGCCACACTACATCAGCACAACAAGATGAAATTATCAATAACAATATTAGTGATAATAAAAAATATTCGGCTCAAGAAAGAATAAATTCGTGAAATGAAGAAGTTTAGTATGATAATGATGATGAGAATGTTAAGATCCAAATAATAAATACAAAAAAGTGAATGCATCTGTGCCATTCTGGGACTGACTTCAAATCATGTCACTTGACAACTCCAACGATGATCGCGTTGACCCTAAACAGGTCATTTGGACTTACCAATAAGAACTCAGTCTAACAGTCAATGACTACATGAACTGATACCACTTCCTTTTTTCCTAATTAACTCATACACCAGTAAATATCATAGTAACAACCAAATTAAGTTTTAAGGAAGGTGTTATGTAATAAATTTCCAGTAACTATCTTTATCAACCCAGTCAAAAGTATTTTATCTATAGGGCTAGAAATTTCACACAGTTCATTGTTAACAGTGGGTAGGTTAAATAAACCATATCTTACTAGGATATTCAACACCCGTTGTGCATAAAAAATATCACTAATAGTGATAGAACCACAGCTTACTAGATTATTCTACGAAATTTGAAATAACAAACTATGTCACATCCTGAAACGAGATGGAAAATTATTTGCAGAATCCATAATTCGTCATCATTTAACTCTCCAAAACCGTTACCCAATTTTTCTTAACCATCCTTTGTTTATTTAAAGTTCAGTCATCATTATTACCACATTTACTCATTATCTTAACACTTCCATTGTTGTTTCTCTAATTAAAAAAATAAATTGATTATCAGTCAGCTAAATGACTCTGTATTAGAAGAAGTTCTATTGAAATGTCAACTGGCTACAAATCATCTACAAGCCTCTGAATGGCTTCATCGTGAAGTTGGTGAATCAGGACGAGATATATCCGCTGGACAAAGACAACTGATTTGTTTAGCTAGAGCTTTACTTCGTCAACCTAAACCAAAGATTATTTGTTTAGATGAAGCCACTGCTTCAATTGACAATACATGTGAAGAAACTATTCATGTAAGATTTCATTTTGTGTTCGCCCCTTTTTGATAAATTGCATTTTCTATATTGAAATGATAATCATTTAATTATGTATGATACGGTTGTAACGTCTACACTAATTTATATAATCAGTCAGTCAACAACAGCAACAGTGTAGAACTTCGTATGTACGTACATCAGTTCTGGTTGCCATACCACATTAGCACAGAGATGGAATTGTCAATTCGAATAAAGGTATTGACAGTAATCGGAGAGATTAGGGTTCCATGATATTATTCAGGAAGTATAATCCAGTGAAATGAATTTAAAAAGAGAAAGATAGAAGTGATGCGGAATTAAGAAGAACATAAAGAGTGGATGTACCAGCTCCATTACAAACGGTTTTGAGCCCTGTCTTTCAGGATCTCTAACCATCGATTACTATCATCTCGCGGGCCCCGACCAGGTAGTCGAAACCTAATTAAACTGTAACATGTTTTTCATTTAGCTGTTGAACTACTGCACAAATTGTTTGTCAATCTTAATTTTCTCTCCAGCTCAGTCATAATTGCTGGAATCAACATTCCAGTCAAAAGTTCAGATCTTATAACTGCCAAGTCTTTTTTTTCATATTTAATCCTTTCTTCCACTACTCAGTAAATCCAACATAATTCAATATCCTTACTTATTTCTTATAGACCGATGTATTTATCTAACATTTCGATATTATCAGATTTATTTTTAGATAGCACCTAGATATAGTTCTTTTCAAGTTCTTTTATTTCGATATTTGTTTGGTGGGAGGAAGTTATTGATTAATGTGTTCAATTGTTCAATAATACAACACTGCACAACTCGCTTGTATTATTGTTTAAATTAAATAATTCAACTGTCTTAAATCGTGGAATCACGTAGCCAAGAGATTTTCAGGCCATTTGAATATCAAGCATCTCGAGATGGTTTCAGCAACGTCGTGGTTACCGTTTAAGTTGCTCAACGTATATGATAAGAATAATTAGTTCCTCAGATTGCTATAATATTCTCTTGTTTTGTTAACTAATTAAAACGAAAATCATCTTATTGGACTAGTATCTGTTCAAAACTTTTTCGGTATATCAGTTAAACTTTATTGCATATATAACAATCTTTAGCTTTATTTCCTCACTGTCATCTATTTTTCATGTTTAAAAACATACCAGAGTGAGCAGACTTCTGAGAGTTTAAGAGCAACTAAACACTGATAAATATGTTTTGATAATTAATTTCCCTAGTCAGTAATAAACCTCATTATACCACGAACACCTGTTACTTATACTAGTTTTTTCATAAAATTTATTTCTATTTTCCCCATAAACAGCAAGTTCTTGATCAAGAATTTCAAGGAGCCACAGTATTACTCATAGCTCATCGACTTGCTTCAGTTCGTCGTTTATGCTCACGTGTCATAGTTATGCGATCTGGACGGTTAGTTGCAGAAGGTCCGACAGAAGAAACCTTAGCTACTGCATTCAATCATACCGAAACTAGAGATCTGATCACTTTATAAACAATGAAATCACCTTATAGATCTGATTTGACAGCTGATTAAAATATGCATCACTGTTTTATTATTTTTAATGATATACATTTTACTTCTTTCTGATTAACATTGTATTTTTGCTAAATATACATAGGGATTGTGTGAAAAAATCTTCATTTACCTTCAATATATATATTTTCAGTCGTTTTTAGAAAACATGAGTGACATTTAACCCTATAATTATATATATAGTCCAAAGGATATGTTTGATCGATAAGACTAAAGTTCAGTTAGTCTTTAAGAAACAGGTGTTTCTCAAAGTAAATGAAAGAAATGTATGTAATAAAGTCAGGAACGTAGAAAGAAATGTAGTTGAGAAGGAAAAATATTTCGACCATTTTTAAAGTTTTGGGACTCAAGAGTCTTAGTGAATGTTACAAATCTCGTAATTCTTGGTGGTCACTGACTTATCAATCTAATACCTACAGTAATGATTTGAATTTAAGAACAATTATCTTCATCGCTTTTTTGGATTCTTTAGATCACAAGATGAATCATACTATGAGCTTTAAGTTTAGTGGGGTTAATGAAAAAGTGCTAATCTTCGATAGGGAGTCAGAAAAACGTAACTGTTGGTCATGAAAATGACTACCTTTAACTGACGACAATGTTATTATGCCAAGGAGGTCGGTTTTGTTCACCAACACTAACTTCGCTAGTGACAGCGTTATACTCAACTGTCCAAATACAGCTCCAATAAAGATATTCCTATAACTGAGATGTTATTGATATACTTTTTAATATTTTACAACTCTGGATAAATATTCCATTAAATTGTGGGAATGTTTTATACCCACCTTGGAGAAAGATCTGATTGGTTTACTTCTCTAGCCATTTTGACCAAGATGTCCTAATTTATTTGGTCCATGAATATTAAACCAGATGGCGTAATAATGACTTTAAAGGAACTCAGTTACTTTTTTGGGGCCATGGCAATATTATAGTTAACAAGCCGGGAGGAGTTATTAAAATATGCGCCAAACCGATGGTACTTAACCATCTTGTATAAAGCTACGGTCTTACCCACATATCTGTTGTGCATGCGAACTTCGTCGAGTTATTGCATGCAAAATATTACGTCCTAATTTTCAGAACTTACGACAGACTAAATTTTCAGGATTTGGACAAGTTTCCTCCAAGTTGTAAATGCATTGATCACACCTTCAGTCTCCACCGAACGTGCGGACACTTCTTCGTGCTCCAAGCCAACAATCTGTGTTCATTTGCATCGGGAATGATTTTGATTCGTTGGACAAGATTGTACTCAAGAACTGAGTTAGAAATTTATGTCTGAGCTCATTAACATTTAGGAAAGTTTTGCCTAACTTCACCGCTCCTAACTAAATTTGTTATCAATGACATCTCGAAGATATTGCATAGGAGTGGAACAAACTTCTCACTCCAAAGACTTTGACCTTGACCATGTGAATTATATTCTCTGAGTGATGATATGACACTGAATTCAACTTAATGTACTGGTGGTTAGTGTATGTTAGGGCAATCACTTTTGACAAGTGTAAACTACTAGTAGGAGCTTGTGTCTGCACTTACCCTTTGTGGTGAACTGATGGGAATAGCGATGGTGTCAAATTATATCAGCCTATGTGCAGCAAAGACTAGGGTGACGAATGCGAAATCTGGGTCACTTATGAGATGTCTCAGTAAGTACAATTCTGCTTAATGCTTGTTAAGTCTGGAATCGCCTAAAAGGAGATTGTATTCTGAGCTAACAGTAGTGAGGTCCAGAAAGTTGGACCCTGTTTATAGTGTTGAGATTTTGAAATATCAGTTTCGGTGGCTCGTAACGTCCCCGTAGTTTCCACTTCGCATATTGTTTGCTGATACTCAAAAAACAAGGGAAGTGACTGCACGAACTCATATTACTATATGGTCCTGTAAGGTCCGAAATTTTTGGGTTACTTCTTGATTTGTCCCAAGCTAAATGAAGTTTACTGCTCAGTAACTCAAGGCTTTATGAAATATGGCTCAAGATATAACCCAACGAAGACTCCAAATCTTTCGTTTTTCTTTAGTCTTGCATTGTGTTCGACATTCCTGTTATGTAAGCACTAATTTGCTACAACTCAAATGACATAAGTGAACAGATTAATTAAGTGTACTTTCATTGAAATCATAATGTTAGACCGCAATAAGAAACCTCGAAGCACTGTACCACCAAGTATGGAACTCATCAGAAGTGAGCATCCACGACACACAGAAGCACACGATACCGAATTGGTCACAATCAAATCCTTTCTACACCACCTAATAACTCTGTTATCTCCTCGACCAACTCTTCCTTCGATCGTTTGTCACCTTGCGCCGCTGAAGCAGACGGTTTGAGCTTGTAGTGCATCCACATTTATTTGCATCCGCTTACATTTAATTTGCTTAAGCCCTTTCGATTAATTTATTTAACCAAGCCATTTGTATAGCAACCACTCATATGTACCATTGTTATTTTTTATTATCTGCTTTGTATGAGCTTGTACGACTGAGCATTGCTTACGCTTACGCACTTACTCATCCTTTTCGCTTTAATGTTAATCTCGTAATTTTCCCATGAACTCACATGATTTGTATCGCTTGTCATTTGACCTTGTCAATCATTCGTCGCTTTTATTCATGTGTGTGCATACCTATTTCGCTTGTCATATGTCTGTCTTATTCTTACCTGACTATATATTCTTAGTCATGCTCTATCTCAAGGAGTTGGCTCAACAGCCTTCTCCTATTCGCTTCACTCATTCGTTCGCATTGTAATCGAAAGAGTTGGCTCACTAGCCTTCTCCAATTCGCTCCGCTCATTCGCTTGCATTGTAATCCAAAGAGTTGGCTCACTAGCCTTTTCAAATTCGCTTCTTCTATTCGATTTGTGGTGTGCCTCGAATAAACGTATACGATACTTGGAGTTCATCTTCTGATTTATAAACCGAACTTAAGAACACGCAGCCATCGGGCACACTACAAGCTCACGGAGCATTATTCCCGGTCTCCTGAAACCCCGTACTAAATTACATATTGGAGCTTTTAATGTTCGAACCTTGTGCCAAATAGGGCAAAACAAGCTCTCTCAGACTAGATCCCGGTATACAGTCGATTATGCGCTGTCCCGCTAAACGGGATAGTACGGACTCGTAAATATAGGCGAATTCGCCGTTGCCTCTTTGTCGTATCTGCGTACGCTCCTACTGACTGCAGTTAAGACGACATAAAAGATGAGTTTTACGAAAATCTCTTCTTCAAAAAGTTAAGCTCTCTGACATAGTAGTAATGGCTGGTGACTTTAATGCTCAAGTAGGTAGACTAGGTGGAAAGGAAAGACCTCTGAGTGGATGTTATGGTATCGTTGCTCAGAGAACAGATAATAGCGACCGCCTGCTGCAGCTGTGCTCAGATAACGGCCTATTTTTAGCAATCACTAAATAGCAGTGATTTCTGCTAGTAGGGTTTAGAGGGAAGCCGTGGATTTTAGTAGCATCTACCGAGCTGATAGATGATCAAAAGCTCATCCCGCCTGGCGATGAGGAACGGAGTCAGCTTAGGCGCGTGCTGATAAAAAGCCTACGCAATGATCGAGAACAGTGGTGGTTAGCGAAAGCAAAAGCGATGGAAAAGGCAGCGGCAATAAGCAACAGTAGACTACTATTCAGACTCATCAAGGAAACCGAATGTAAGTGAAACTATCTCAGAAAAGGATAGTCTTATTATCCATTCTCAATCCAGGAGATTGGATCGATGGGCAGAACACTTTAAGGATCAGTTCAACTGGCATTCAGCCACGCTTCGGTTGCCCACGATCTCCAGTCATCCTGAATGGCAAGTCGACGTAAGCCCTCTGACTCTTTATGAAGTTGAGAAAGCGGTAGGAAATCTGAAGCGAGGGTGAGCAGCAGGTCCTGATAGGCTTACCCTTGAGATTTTTAAGGATGGTGGTCCAGTCTTAGCAGCTAGGTTGACCGAGATCTTAGGTAGAATCTGGGAACTGGACGTAATCCCATCCGATTGGTCTCAATCACTGACTGTCCCAAGAAATGATTGGCCTGTATCGGCACCTGAACTAGTGAGAGGGAGTGAAGTAGTCGAGCGTGTAGACTGCTTCACTTATCCGCGGAGTCTCGTCAGTGCTAATGGCCTGGTGACTGACGAAATCTCAGCTCGGATACAGAAGGCTCGATTGGCTTTTGCCAACCTGCGTCACCTATGGCACAGGCGAGATATCCGTTTGCTGACTAAAGAACGAGTGTACTGAGCAGTCGTTCTCTCCGTCCTACTCTATGGCTGTGAAACATGGCCAAAGTAGATATTCGTAGGTTGCCTGTTTTCGATCATACCTTTCTCCGAAGCATTGCTCGTACATACTGAAAAAACCGAGTAAGCAGAGCTGTTGTTAAGAAATGGGTGCTAGGTAAGGATAGCAGGTCAATAGGTGAAGTAGTGGAACTTCATCAGTCGGTGGTTGGGACATGTCTTACGTATGCCTAACCACCGACTGCCTAGTCAAAATATGTTTTGTGGTGTGGAAATAAGTTGGAAGAAAGCTAAGGGAGGCCAAACCAAAACCAAGACAGAAATCCATGAAGTCACTGACAAGTAGACTGAATCATATTGGTAGATGTCGACTACCTGGTTTGGAGCCCGGGAGATGATAGTAATCGATGATTAGAGACCCTGAATGACATGGCTCAAAACCGTTTGCAATGGCACAGGTGCATTCATTCTTTGTGTTCTCTCAAATCCTAACCTTTATTCCCCATCAATTTTTCTTTTTAAGTTTATTTCATTATATTCTACTTCTTGAATAATATCTTCGAACCCTAATCTCTCCGATTACTGCTAATACCTTTACTACCTCTACTACTATGGAATTTGAATTGACAATTACATCTTTGTGCTCATGTGGTATGGCAGTTTGAACTGATGGACATGCGTACGTACGGAGTTCTACATTGCTGTTGATTGACTGATTGGGTATCCACGACTTCCTGCTACTTGAGGACTCGAATACAGGACCTTCGTTCTTGCTCACGGACGCTAAGCCTCTAGAGGCTAACTCTGACTAGTCTAAGAGTTTCGCGTAATCTTACCCATTGTCTTCGGTAGGTAATGCTTACACCTGACAGGGTTGAACTCCACTGGTCACGTCTTCTCACCATAGCTCCGAGAATTTCTTCGTGAAGCTAGTTACTAGTAAGCACAAAATGCGCTCGCTAAATTCAACAATCTTTGCAACTCTGTAGTAAGAATCATAAGTTTACCTGGCTGTTTATTTTGCAGTCATAATGTTTAGATATCAAGTGCACCCACTAAAAATATATAAGCAAGAAAACTCAAAAGATTTGATAACAGAAACAGATATTTGTGATATCCTCAGACCGAGATCTCAATTATATTAACGTTAGCGACTGTAACTGTATGTAATGCTGCAGTGGTGTTACACTTTACATCAATAATGCTAATTTCATAACTTAACTAAGTTGTGACACTAACGTTAATTACTAACACCGGAGAAAAACTTTCTAAGTTTTCCCTTTTTCCGCTCACTCGAAACAAATGGTGTTGACTTCCGTTTTCTTCTTCTAGATTTTTAACAGTTATTTATTTGGTTAAGATAGAGTATAAGGACTTTATTGAATTAGGATTATACAATCTACTTATGTCAGTAATTATAAGGCTGCTGAGTTTGTCAATATTCTCCCCATGATTCTAATGTTGGAAGCACGAAAGTGCTTATTCTCCTAAACTTCTTCTAAAAATCCTTATTTTATTCTTTTACGTAATCAAGCCTCAGAGAACACACCATACATTGGTTACTGCTTATTTTCTTTCTTAGTCGTCCAATGAGTTGGGATTATAGCTGTGGCTTTGTGAGAGATTATTTAATTGACTAAATCAGTCTACCATTCATTAGTTAGCAACCATACGTGTATTTTACTACTAAAGAGTAGCTTTTTAATAAGTTCATTTCACAAGGATATGGGAAAAACCATCAAATAGACAATCGTGGTCGGACGATTTACGAAGGAAAAAAATTTGTTCCTCTTCATAATAGTGTTAAACATGAATAATTTGCCTAAGATAAATCAAGGGACTTGTAGTTCACATGAATAATAATATGCGTGACATGAAAACAGATACATACAAAAAGAATTGGACATAAAGATAGTATACAAGGAAGCGAAATCGTAATAAGTTGGGAAATTAATCATTTGTCGCTAGTCCATATTTTAATTGTTTTGTCACCCTCTAATGATCCTGAAGCGATCATGTTCATTTGCGGATGACAAGCAGTACACAGAACAACATCTATAGAAGAATTAAAAAGTTTAGAGATAAAATGTGAAAACAAACCATTATGGCCGGAAAGCTTCTGTACAATTTCTTTTGTTTGTAAATTCCATAAATAAATACAATTGTCTTCAGATCCTGAGACAATCCACTAATCAAAAAAGAGGTATTAAGAGAAATAACTGAACATACTTTGCCCCCAGTAACCGAAAAATTTGCAAATATACAATACTTTTCATTTTTGTGTCCTCCATAGATTTTTAAGCATCTACCTTTAGTATAATCCCATAGCTTGAGACAACTATATTTCGAAAATTTATTAAGATTTAGTCATGTTAGGTAACTGAAATACCTATCAAGTGTAGCAGCTAGAATGTATTTTCCATTAGGCGAGAACTTAACAAACGAAACAGGAGGGTTATCATCATCTGAAAATCAATTAGTTAAGCAGTAAATGTACGCACACGTTAAGTTACCTATCAATGTTTTTAAACACTGGCCAGAACCGGTATCCCATATTCGACTGAAATTCAAATAATTGTTTAAGAAATACAATTTAAACCACATACCATAATCCATCGTAACTGCTGGAAGCAATAAGTGAACCATCACGGTTAAAATTAACCTAAACAAGTTTGTAAGAAGAATATATATGTAATGGCATACAGCTGTGACGGGATCAGAGTGGGCAGGAAGCGTGCGGATACACCGGCCTGTTTTCACATCCCATAACTTAACACTTTCATCAAACTACACTAGTAGTAGTTAGAAAAGCGACTACAAAAAAACATACCGAGCCAGAAACGATCAGGTTTGATTGTGGATTAAAATTGCAACAAAAGACATAATTGCTGTGACCTTTAAGAGTTTTTAAACACTTTCCAGAAACTAGATCCCATAATTTTAAAGTTTTGTCGTCGGAAGAACTACACAGAAATCTTGAGTCGTAAGACCATGAAACATCTGAGATCCCCTTTAATATATTGTACATGCCAAATAAAAATAATGAAAGTAAGAACTACCAATTTGTGACCGCTGATAGATTTTTCGAATTTTCCATCATAGGCATTCCACACTTTGATTAATTTGTCAGCTGCTGTATTATTTTAAGGAGAAAATATAACCAATAATAGGGTACTTACATGAACTTGCCAACCACTGACCATTTTCACTAAATTTTACAGATGAGACTGCTTTTGTATGACCCGTCAAAGTGAATTTCAAGGAGTAATTAGGCACCTAACAGGGCATGATAAATCCATCACCAATACTTACTTCACTACCCATTAGGCGGTTAAAATATGAATTTCAAGTCTATATAAAAAACAAGTATCAACGTAAACCAGATGAATAAAAATTAATTCAATTTAAAGCTTGCTTACATTTCCCACACCCGAGTGAGCAACGCTGCTATTAGGAATAGGGTGCTAGGTACGATTGGCAGATCAATAGATGAAGTAATGAAACTTCATCAGTTGAGGTGGTTGGGACATGTGTTGCGTATGCCTAACCACCGACTGCCTCGAAGAGCTTTGTTTTGTAGTGTGGGAGTAGGTTGGAAGAAAGTTAGGGGCGGCCGAACCAAAACATGGCAGAAATCCATGAAGTTATTGACTTAGCCATGTCGGTAATTGTCAACTACCTGGTTGAGGTCCGCGAGATGATAATAATCGATGGTTAGAGACCTTGAATGACATGGCTCAAAATCGTTCGCAATGGCGCCGGTGCATTTATTCTTTGTGTTCTCTCAAATCCTAATCTTCTGGATTCTTCATCACCTGTAGTTTTGACTTTCTAAACTTTTCTCACTGAATCATACTTCTTGAATAGTATCTTCTAATCCTAACCTCTCCGATTACTTCTAATACGTTTACTACCTCTTCTACTATTGGATTTGAATTGACAATTACATCTCTGTGCTGATGTGGTGTGGCAACATGAACTGATGTACTTACGTACGAAGTTCTACGTTGCATCTGACTGACTGACTGACTTGCTTACATTTCCCAGTGATTTTTTATTAGGTGAATGATCATGTTTCGCTAATTTAAACTCTGTCATAGTATAGACAGACACAATAACGTAAGACCTTATAAGAATACCATGACCAACAACACATTACATAATAGGACAAAAAGAAAATCAAAAATATTAACATTAACGGGAAAAACATGAATCCATGATGAAACAAATACAGAAACAATAGTTGACTTTTAAATCTGGATGGTAAAGACTAGTATGTAAGATTTTGAAACACGTTGTCTATAGCTTCTTGGCACTTATTTATATTCTATCCTGAACAGACGTTTAAAACTTCATTTATTCCAACTTAGGCATATTTGTAATTACAGCTAGTTATCTCTTTTACATTGTAATATTCATCATAAAAAGTACCCACCTAGTAATTACATCACTCACCAACAATGTTTAAAAACAAGCCCCATTATATTAAAGCTAGCAGGAGTAACAGACGATATGATGCAATAGTAAGAGGCGACTAATGATTGGTGTTTACAGTGTTGTCAATAGAAGCAATAGAAGTCATAATTAAATCAGTTTGAAAAATCGGATACTTAAGAAATCATTAACTTGGGCTTCAAACATCTGATATTTTAAAATTAACCAGATATTAGGGTGATATCATATCATATTCAAGCTACTGGTGAAAATATCTTATTTTTAATGATCAGAAAAAAAAACTAGCTTTTATAAAGAAAAAATCTCAGTGCTTCGGCAGTTCTGCCGGTGCTTTTGAATTTACTTACTAAACTGACAACATAGAGAAAATGGGGCATTAGAAATTAATCTATTTATATATAATAAACACAAACTTCTATAGAAAAAGGCATAAAAGTTTGCGTAAGTGAACATTCCCATGTTTCCATTTACGGTGTGGTGTTGTTTTTGCAAAGCCAGAAATGTAGTCATTACTGCATCTACTGACTTCTGTGGAAAACCGCTCTCAAAAAGGCGTTGCAAACAACTTCCAACGTCAAGTAGTCTCAAGATATTTCCGTTTACGAAATCACTAAGAAGTGGGTATTTTACATGTTTGACTCAATTGTGCGACACGACGGATCATCGCATCATTAGTGGGAGACAATTATGGTAAAACTTAGGTATTCTCAAAATAGTTTAGCGATGTATATATCATAAAGGTGACTCTGGTTCATATAAACCCATCCATACACACTCTGGACACTGGGGCCATTAAGAACCCGATCTGTCAAATAAGCTTAGTTCAAGTAAATCTATGGACCTGATGAAAAACATCTTAGATCACTCAAAGAAATAACAAATTCCATCGCAAATCCTCTAGACATATGTTTTAATTTATCTGTAAACCAAGGCAAGTTACCAAAAGACTAGAAAAACGCCATAGTAAATCCTGTCTGCAAAACAGGTACGAGACATAAACCCGAGAACCATTGACTTATAAGCCTAACTGGCGTGGTCGTGAAAATTTTAGATTATTCCTAAGTACCGAAACAGAAACCGGATTCTTTCCGAGAAGCAGCAAGGTTTTAGAACAGGTTATTTATGTCTCACAAACCTGTTAAGAGCCCGTGAAAGTTGGTACGTTTTTAAAGACCAAAAGCTACCTGTAGTTGTAGACTTAATTGACTTTAAAAAGGCTTCTTGACAGAGTCCAGCTTTTATCCAAGTTGAGGGATATCGGGACCAGGTGCAATTTACTTAACCGAGTCAAGGATTTCATAGTCCGACCCCAACAAAGAGTATGGGTTAACTTCAATTTATGTAGCTGTACATATATGGAGTTTTAAATCTCCTATCTTTACCAGTTTTGCTTTACGTTGACGATGTCAAGATATGGAGAGCGATAAAAATCTAAAGTGGTAGTCTGCAACTTTAAAACTATTTACAGAAATTATCTGAACGGTCGAGAATCTGACAGTTATCAATAAATGCTTCAAATTAAATCATGATTCATATATGCCACTAAGGTACAGATAAAATCACAGTGACTATAACTGAGCTACCTGTTATCCAGACAGCAAGTTGTTGGAAAAATTTTTAAAGAACCGCAACTAAGTTTATTCTCGCAATCGCAAGGCCGCCTTATGATCAAAGACTGGTCAGATTAAACCTCTCTCCTTTATCAGATGAAAGGACAAGAGGTGACCTGATCACAGTTTTCAAACTATTTAGTGGTATATTTGCATGTGACCTGTTTCCGATTTTCTTATCTTCCAAAACAGATAGTTTAGGATGAACCGTTAAAAGAGTTCACAAGCCGAGAACAAATTACATGTCAGCTGCCTACCAACTTTCTCATCGAATCGTTAACGAATGGGGATCTTCACCACACTAAGTAGTTAAGCTCTATCTGTCAACCCATTCAAGAGAAAGCTGGGACAACTAAGAGATAGAAATTGCAAGGACTAACACAGGCCATCTAGTCTTTCTTTCTCATCCAAATTGAAGCTTTCAGAAGGGAGTACGAAGAAATATCCAATGATATTCCAGCTGATAGTCTAAAACCTCAATTTGGAATATCAGCTGAACATGTAAGATGACGTATAGTAGGCTATGGACTACAGATATCACTGAAGGAGATAAACAGTGCACTCTATGTCAAGTAGTAACAACTGTTACTGCAAAGTTAGTTCATGGTATTTACGCGGCAAAAAAGGCATGATAAGGGGCTGAAAGGGTTTTTACGTTAAAACTGCTGGAACTTTCAGAGGCGTACATAGTAATTTTAATGTCTCATATATCATTTGATGCAGCAGAAATTTTAATAGCGACATTTCCTCAACTTAGTAGGAGTAGTGCTGTCAACCACCCAATCTCATAAACAGCTATGAAAATATATGCTGTAACTGTCTACATTTAACTGTACGTCCCAACATCAATGGAATTCTTAAGTAAGATGGTTTCAATTTGCAGAGCTCCTATGGTCGCTAGAGAGCTTGGTTAAAAATAATTACTCACTTGAAAGCTCCGGAGGAGACTTCACCTTGGAAATTGAATCACGTACATTTGGTCATTCAATTTACAATCAACATTAGTTACCTAGACAAAGGAAATAAAGATGACAGGTTGTTTTATGTCTGCCAAAAGCACTACTTTAAATATCATCTTAGTGTTCACAAATGGTTTAGACTAGAGGAAATATGTTTCTCATGAGCCAGTTCGAACCAGTTAATTCCCTTGCGCTCACTCCTTGTTGTTTCAGTGCAGTTCAAGGTATTTAGAAACAAAACTTTTTCGTGATGTAACAACACTCATTCAGAAAGATCATTAACAGACCTCACTATGGAACTGAGGTGGTGGTACTAAATATGATGGGTTATCTAATCAGAGTGTCCCTAGTATATTTACGCAAACTCCATTCATTCTAGGGCTACGGAGTAATGCACACCACAGATTTATTAATCGGATTACATAGTCTCACACTTTGCAGTAACTTTGTCCAGTTTATTTAAAACTATCTACTTATGAAGGCTAATTAGCTAAGAACTGGTTGAAAACTCGTAGTTGTTTCAAAGTCAAGGCCAGTGTATACTTCATCATTTCCCATTGTCTTTGCAATCTGCAGTAGATGCTTTTTCTGTACCAGTTCCGTTGCCGTCATTTTGTCTTTTTTACCACTTTTCGAAGTGTTCAGTGTAGGATTTAATTTGTCCTACAGATATAATTCTACAACGGTAAACGCAATATTGGCGAGCACAGAGTCTATGGGAAAGCTATAGTCAGAACAAAATCAACTTTAGCCTTAAACTTCATCTGTTTCTAAATATAAAAACAATTAAATTAGTACAATAAATAAGGAAATCACAATTACCAAGTAAGACGAGCAAACATACCGACCAATATAACGTGTCTTATGGATATGAATAAAACAACGAGTCACATCAATATAATACGATAATGATGTCCTCCAATTATTAGGTCATTTACAACAAAGAAAGTTTACGGACACGTCAGGTCGGATCACGTGATGGGCGCTTAAACCACAATTTGATTGGTTAGTTATGACATAACTACAATTAGTTATGGAAATAACTAAAATTCAGCATACAGAGCTATTACTAAAATACTCGTTTAACCCTTCTATTTCTGAAGTAAAATCACAACAATCAGATTTATCAGTAATCCTGAAATACAGTCCAGATGGAAAAAACCCAAGAGACAATAAGTTTATTATTTCTGCCCAAAACCTTTCAACTTTGGAATATTTCGATGTTTTCGTTTTGAGGTCATCCGCTTATAGGTATGGTCTTCCGAATTTTATGGTTCCACACATGCCGTTTATGTACATAGGAAATAATAACAGGAGTTATATAATTCTCTAGATAACTCCACTGTTTATTAGTCTGGGTGATGAAAGTCAACTGCTGTACTTTACCATTTGTTGGCGGTTATTTAGGAATGAAGTGAACCACAAATCTAATGAGTTACTGATTCCGATTGACTTTGGTTTGACGAGAAGCCTCTTGTACGGGGCCTTATCAAAGGCTCTCTGAAAGTCAAAGAATAGGGCTGATACTAAAAGCTGTTAGTCTTGTTTTTGAGCTGTATCATTCAGATAGTCCATTAGGCACGTATCGCATGATCTGGACAACAGGAACCCATTCTGTGAGGTCACCAAACGCACTGTAGTTATCAATTTCAATTGGTTTAGATTAGTAAATAAATTCATACTAGCAGAAAAAGGAATGTGCTCCACTTACAGGTCTGATTATCGTGTACCATTGTACCAATCATTATGCAGTACCTGCCCATCGCCTAATGTACAGAGCAGACAGAATGATTAAGCTTGCTGCACCTCGAACATGCAGTTCTATCTCAAGAATCTTCAGTAGTTAAAATAGTTAGCACCCTGCCTAGACGATACTGTCATCGTCATCATCTGACTCCTCACTGGCTGTCGGAATTTCAAAGATCCTATTCATCCAAATGCCGAGCATGTCAAGATCATCTTGGCTGCCATTTTAGGCTACCATAAAATCCTATGATGTCTGTGAAACATTGGGCTATGTTCTTTTATATACCTATCCAGAAGAAATAGGATTGTTAATGACCGTCTAGGTCAGGCTTCATTTTTACTTTGCTCCCAAACGGGCTATATGTGCTTCGAAATTTACTAAACTACCTATTAGTTGACATTCAGAAGAATCCCAAACAGACCTGAAGGCTTTGGTTGCTCTGATACTAAGAATAATAATAACAATTTATTCTCAAAAACAGCACTGTAGGTATTCTGTGCACTAATTCACCCTCTATAGGTTTTGCAAGCAAAGTCAATTAAAGAGAAGGCTGAAACCCTAAAAATTACAGGATAGCGAATGCTGCTCATTTGATCTGCTGTCGATCGATGAAACTTCTGTAATAAGATTTATAGAATGTTGTTCGCCTGAAGCTAACTAGTTTATATTCATCAGAAAACAGGTTCACAATTGGACGAATAGAAATAAGTATCTTAATTTATTTATGGCTAACAGAGACGAGTGTGCATGGAAATACACTTCCGCTCTCTTAACGATTTTAATCCCAGTTATGGTACATTACTCAGCGTGCAGAGTGGCGTAGTTAAGGAGATATGGATAAAGGAATATAAGAAAGGGTGAGATGAACGCGAAGCAAGTGCACAAAGAGCACTTATATTTGACGGGGAATGCAAGTGACAATAATCAGCAATAAAATAAGCCTTAGTTTAATGCAACCTGCAAAGCAAAACTAGATCCAGATAACTTGACTCACTATACATTTTGTTTATATGATGTTAATTAACCGGCAGTCAAGTGCGTATCAAATTAGTGTATAAATAAGTGTATTTCGTTCCGTGGAAGCTTACTATGGGAACGCCCTTCAAAGCATTAATAAACCTTCATTTGCACTTGTATCTTGGGTTATCACTTAGTTTTGTCAAACTCAATAGGTTTTTGTTTGTAAGAATAAATAGTTGAACTTTCGGATGCATAAAATTTGTACTATTCCGCCAGTACGACCTATGACGAGTAAATTTGGACTCCCGGGCTGACTATAACGTTGGCATTCAATAACAGTGATAAAAAGGAGAACCAATAAAAAGCCACAAAGATATAATTATTTGGAAATATGTAAACATTGCATTTTTCCGTTACTTTTTTGAAATCAGTGAAGATTTGTCGCACTTTACACTTCTGCTTCTCTTCCGTCAGCTGAAACCCGTCTCATTGTTACTGATAACCATATATTTTATTTAATTCCTACTATCCATCTATACTTTCCTCAACAATAGTCCCGTTTTTAAGTTAATCACTAGTTTGAGCTCCACCTATTAACTAAAAATGCCTTCATTTGATATACTGCAAATAACTAGGCCTTGTCACCCACTTATTTTTGTAAGCTCTGCTGGTCGTATTTCTTCTTTTTTCATTTTCGCGATTTGTGAAACGGTTTCTGCTCAGACTTGGATCATATAGGCGTTCGCCAAAGCTACAATTTGTACAAGATCACATGTCTGGATAGTTTAGACAAACATAAACTCATCGTAACATAGCACAAGAAATGACCTTCTCTATATCCCTCAGTTTCTAAATTATCATTGTCATGACGACTTTAATCATAATAAGGCTCTACAATTGATTTATATTTTTATCATCTCCGTTTATCTGTTCTTACACCAACTGATTCACTCATTTCTATTTATTTCCGCCCTCCCGACACTCCTCTGGATTTAAAATGCTGAATTTTTGCATCACAGTCAGCTAGTCAACTGCATTATAATCTAACTGTTTCTAGTTTCAGAAATATCAATGCTTTGATGAAAATGCGTTAATAAGCGTCGGGCCCCGAAAAATTTAGTATCATGAGGACTAATTAGAAGGAATGGAAGAACTGCCGTTATCGGAATCTACGGAAGACATAAGTGAACAGAACGAAATAATTTGCTTTGCACCTAATACGTACGAATTTGTTAGATACTGTAATATCTTTGAAATCCCTCTCATAAAAATACCCTGAGGGAACCAGATTCATTCTTTCAACTGGTTAGAAGGACCCACAATTACTTTATAAGAACCTCCAGATGACTAGCGAGCCTTCGTTTTTCAGCCTTTAGGAGCGGTTTAAGAAAGTTATGTACAAATGACCCTGAAAGTTGAGAACTATGTGCTTGCTATCTGATTACGGGCTATCGCATATATTCGTCAAAAGTGTAATTCAGTACCCCTTCATATGTTAAGGGCTACCCGCGTAGACACATTCTCTAAAGAGAAAACGTAATGAGTCTGTAGTCTATGTTTAGCCTCCAGTAAAACACGGATCCGACATTCGTACATGGTGAACACATATAAAAATATACACTACTGAGGTTACGGTTACGAGAAGCATATAAATATTGGGAGTATAATATTTTTTCATTAGTTAGATACTTTCTAATATTACATATGCAGCCGCTATAAGTCTTCATAAAACACTTCTCGATGATATCTAATAAAAATCAGTTTAGCGCTGCACAAATATTCTTTAACATTCTTGTCAAAAAATGGTATGAAGTATATATTTGGGCATCTTATCTAAAAGAATAACCATTGAAATAATAGCTGTCGGTCTAGTCTTTCAGGGTACTACGGAACAACGAGATCGCTCCTACGTTTACTACATCGGAGCAGGCTACAGGGCCATGAGGTAGTATCTTAAACAAACCCTACGACCACGATAGGTGAAAGCTAAAGAGAGATAACCACCATAAGATAATTAGAATATTATTCAGGAAACTACCCCACTTTACCCGACGCAGCAAGAAGTGAGTAAAGAAAATTCAATCGGTTTATATTAACCCATTCTAAAATTATTGGATTTTGGTATACTCGGGTATTAGCGCTGAATCCGGTATTGCCGTTACAAGCAGGTGAAGGTTGTGTAGCAAAAATGGTCAGACTCCTCACAGTATGTATTTGCGCTTAAAAAATCAAATCCTCTTCTAGATCCACCACATAAAATCAACCTTAAGGTCTGTT